CTGAGAAAAGGCACGAGATTTGAACAGTCAGTCATGTAGCAAAGTCATGGACTGTGCAGAGAACAGGATGGCTAATTGCAAAAATAATGACTCAAACCATATAGAATTCAGACTTTCTAAAAATGGAAATAGTATGCTCTGCTTTCTAATTTCTAGGCCTGTTTTTTAATTTCTTTTCATTTTTTAACTTCTCTTTCCCCAGATGTAGAAATTAAGGTGACTCTGGTCCTTGCTGCAGGGGCATTAGTTTTGTCTCCCTTAGCCTGGCTCTGCTCCTCCTGGGAGTTCACACTTCTGCTCAGGCCTTCTGGGAAGAGGGAAAGGGAAATTGTAGCAGCATCCTCTTGATAGCAGCAGGTACAAGTCAACAAGGTCTTCATCTTCCACTTCCAGGCGTGGTGTGCAGGGAGGGAGGAGCGGAGATGCTGTCCTCTTGCCCAGAGGGTGGGGTGGGGGTGGCAGGAGCTTGGCTGCACCAAGCCTCTCTGGGCGCTTTTATCTTGTGCAAAAATGTTTAAATTTGGGGAATGGGTGTGGATGTGGGAGAGGGGGAAGCAGTTCTGCCTCCGTGCAGCTCTGGCTGCCTCTGCAGCAGTGGTGGGAGCGGCGGTGGAGCAGAGCTTGTCCCACCAGTCGGTGATGAAACTGGGAGCGAATGGAGCTTCTCACGCCAGTGTGAGACGGGGCGGGTGTCCACTCTGACCTGGGGCAAAAAAACCTGAAGACCCGCAAATAGTCCATAACTTTGATCACAGTAGTAGAATTTTGGATAGTGGATTGTAAAGTTTGTTGTAATTACAAGTGGTCTGAAAACTTAGTTTTGCAGTTTCCGTTACACTGAAGTTAATTGCTAGCAATGTTGATTTAGCAGGCATGCCTTAATTTTCTGCTTTTCAGAGTACCCCTACTGCTTGCTTTTCCTAAGCACAGGCAGATTTATCTTCCGTTACATTTCGTGGCTGTGGAAGGTAGGAATTTGACTGGGAAGCTGTCTGAAGTAGAGAGTTAAGAAAGCCCCACTAACTTCACTTATTTACACATTTAATGCTATTGTGATTTTAATAGCTTAGTACATATTGTAGGCACCTAAAATATCTCTGTGTAGAGATTTAGAAGATTAGATAGAAACAAGTCTAGCTTGGATTACATTCAAATTATTGACTCCAATAAAAAGTTAAAAAACCCTAAACTCAATCCCTGTACAGTCAAAACGATTACCCATGAAGATATTTATCATTCACTGTACTACAAAAGACTGTGGAGGAGTGGTAACAGGTGTGATTAGCTGGTGTATTTCTGATGATTAATTTTGCATTGACCTGGCAGGTATAGCCAGATCAACTCTGCTTTTGCTCCAGCTCTGATCTCAAGTGGATCTTTGCTATGTTCCTTGCATGTGATATCATTGGTACAAATGGGTTTTTTTCCTCAGTCCTGAGAGTTATAGTAAATGTTGATACAATTTTGAAAGATTATGCTTGTCTCTCTAAAAAAATTGTAAAGGTCCTTGTTAATATTTAACCCTCTATTTGTAAAATGTAGACGTAAAATTCTTAGTTAAGATTATAATTTTCTAAATGTATAGCTACATAGAATTCACAGTCTTAGTGTTTTGATGTGATTGAACTACTCAAAGATAGGGTACTCCTATTGCTTGCCTCACATTTTGCCTTTAATAGTAAAATGGCATAGATTCAAACTGTTCCAGTTGGCTTTAACTGATCAATATCTATAATTAAATCTGATATTTGTCTCTGTTTAAATCCTACATGTGTAAGAAAATGGGCTGCAGTCTAACAAATAAGCTTTTTAAGCCCTCAAACTTCTAAAACAAGTTTGCCATTAATGTTAAAATGATCCAGGTATTTTGCTTGCCATATTCCAGTACACGGGTCCCTCTCACAGTAGGCAGCCTTGATGTTCGCTTGCAGTTACATGAGTTCAGTTGATTGTGGGATAGCTGGAGGAAAAAAGTGATTTTTCACATATATTTAAAAATTACTGTATTCATAGGCTTGGTATCAGCATTGAGTTGGATTATGCTAATGCTTTTACCTTGTTTACAATGCAGGGAAATACAACAAACCTTAAAAAACAAAGCCTTAAAAAGAGTCAAAGATTTAAACTTACATGGTGGGTTTATTCTGGTTTTGGCATCCTCTTAGATTTCACTATATTTGGAGTAGTAGACAAAATGAAGCCAAATGAATAAGAAATTACAGTAAAGTTAATATTATTAAAGAGTTAAAATTTTATTAAAGTGAAAAGACTAATACTTTAAAACCAGAGTGTTAGGTTGAAGTTGTCTTATTTAGAATGGAATAGCTGGTTTCGCATAGCTTTCAAAGTAATGCTGTAGCAATTTTTTGTTTTTTAAATCATCAGGCAGCTGTCTAAAAACATGAAATAATGATTTTCTAAGCAGACAACATCTTCATTTTAGACTGTAAATTATGTGGAGAGACATTTATTTCTTCCCTGGAAGCACCTATCATACTTTTTGCAGATCAATAAGGCACATCTATAAAACTCTTGATACGAAGTATAGCACATGTTAGAAGAGTTATCACCACCTTTTTTATCATCTTATTTTGTTTACTCCTTTAAGTCCCAATGTTTTATCAAGCTCAAAGGGACTCTCTTCCAACTTTCTTTTTTTTTATGTTGCAACACTTTGACGTGTTTCTGTTAACTCAAGCAGCAAGACCAAACTCCAAAGTAAAAATGGTAACAGGGGAGATTGGCAGTTTTTTAATCTGCATTTTTGCCGTAGGAGAACACTGTATGGTCTAAGGCAAAAGGTGCAACATTGCCAGAACTTCACTGAAATTACTGCTTCGAGTAGAGAAATGTCTTTTGGGAGTGAGGGAGGAAGAGAGACCTGGAAACAACATCAAAGCTTGAGGTTAGAATATGTTAGAGAATGGGTTCCCATAAAGGTATGGCAGCAGCAAAAATAAGCCCAAATCTACAGTAGAAGTCAGGCACTGAATAGGTGGGGGGATAAGAGAGTAAAATTGCAGAACATTTGGGGGATGTGCAGGAGAAAAAGTATTTTAGAAATGAATGGGAGATGTATAGCGTGGGCTGAAAGAGCTAAGTGATTCAAGCTGGTGAAATGGTTTGAAATAGTTACTTGCCTGAGGACTTCGTGGATTTTTTTCATTTTTTTATTACTGCATAAACTTTCCCTGTTAAAAGCTAGCTGTAGGTTGTGGGTTACAGCTCTTCTAAGTGCGAGGTGTCTTAAATTGGACAAACATCTTTTCAGTTTTGAGGATTTACGGTCAGCGGGGGGTTCTTAACCGAGATCACTCTTTCAGCAAAACAGGTACAGGGGTGAACTGTGTGCGCTTGCATCCCTCCTCATTTCCTTCCATGATCAGAAATTATTTTTTTATTTGTAGCAACATGAACCGTGAAGACCGGAATGTGCTGCGTATGAAAGAAAGGGAAAGGCGAAATCAAGAAATTCAACAGGGTGAAGAAGCCTTTCCACCTAACTCTCCTCTCTTTGCTGAACCATACAAAGTTGTGAGTTTATGCAGTTCTTACAAATGCAGTTTTTATAGCAGAAATCTTACACAAATTTGTGCTTTAAATTTATTTTTATTTACATTCTTTTTGGATCCACAGCTCTTAACGTCAATCAAGTATTTAAGCAGGGCTTGAAAGAAAGGGTGGACAGTTATTAACCAGCTCTACTGGAAGATATATAATAATGCTTATGAAGGAGGGGCTGATTTATAGGGAGTGAGAAAAGGGATGATAAAACCATAAAATTTTCTGGCTTTCTTCTCTGCTTTTGCTGCAGTGACTTAAAACAAATTAAACTGTCCATTGTGTCATGCCAAACTGCTTTTTTTTGGGTGCTTTAGCCTGTTGCTAAACTTTGTAATCTTCAATCAATGTGATCCAGACCTGGGTAAGTTCAGAAAGAGAATGTTTAAATAGGAGGTTAATTTTAAATGCTGAAGTGCCTGATATGATAGCATTATCAGCTTTAACTAGTATGCCAATTGTTTGTATCTGATTTTTTAGTTTGTTTTGAAGGAGTTGACTCTGTTTATGATCTCATACAGCTTTAAACCTGTGCTAGGTTTCCTTCTGGCTTTGATTTGCTGAACAGAACTGGAAAAAAATAACCTAATTCTGGGATGGCTCAAAACTCACTTTGAAAGCAAGTCCATGCCCTTATCACAATTTCAGCTGGTTTGCAAGAAGTAAAATGTTGTGACTGAAAACTGTCTTCCTGCAGGAGGAAAGTTGAGAAATGTTTTTCTTGATTCCTGTCCTCCCATCACTTTATTGTGCTTGATAACCGAATCCTACGTGTCTGAAGTTAACTAAAGCTGGTTGGCATATGTGGGTAACGATACAGTATACCTGCTTTGGAAAACAAGCTGGTTATATCAGAAAGAAGCCTTATAACTGTTGGCAACAAGAATTATGCCACTATAAATACAAATTAAAAAGTACATACAGTGGTGAGGTTAAGCTGATTTTATCTTACTGTCAATTAAAACTTTTTAGGACTAATGCATTCTGTATTAGCGAAATAGTCTTTAAGGTGACAGTAGGCATCTAGAATTTTTAAACTTGCATGCAGCTCACCAGTGCATTAGTTGAAGCACTGATTAGTGCTGTTTCAACTGTTTGTGCTGCTGAAGCAATTCTTTTCCTTATGCTTTGGGGGGTTAAATTACTGCTTTTAAGAACTAAAATTGGGAATTGGAAACAATGACAAAAGAGACATGGATACTAGTCATGATCTTAGCCCCGAAATTTAGATTAACTGCAGTAGTTGTCAAGTCAATTAACTGAAAGTGAAGTTATGATTTTTTTTTAAAGCATTATTTTTTTAAATTATTTTCACAGACGAGCAAAGAAGACAAATTGTCTAGTCGTATTCAGAGCATGCTTGGTAATTATGATGAAATGAAGGATCTTATAGGAGATAGATCGCTACAAAAGCTTGTTGGAATTCCCAAACCAACTGTACCATCAACACCAGATGAAAAATCAAACCAAAGTTTCTTTGGTGATCAGAGACACAATACTAGCTCACATCAGAGCAGCAAATGGACTCCTGTAGGACCAGCACCTAGCACTTCCTCACAATCTCAGAAACGGTCCTCGGGTTTACAGAGTGGACATAGTAGTCAGCGTGGCAGTGGCAATAACACTAGCAGTAGTGGCCAGAGGCATGACCGTGACTCGTACAGTAGCAGCAGCATTCGCAAAAAAAGCCAGCATGGGTCCGAACACTCCAAACCCCGTTCTTCCAGCCCTGGAAAACCATCTGCTGTTTCTTCATTGACCTCCAGCCATTCAAGATCTCATGGAAATGATCACCACAGCAAAGAACATCAACGTTCAAAATCTCCCCGGGATCCTGATGCCAACTGGGACTCGCCCTCCCGCGTACCCTCATTTTCAAGTGGACAACACTCTAATCAGTCTTTTCCACCTTCCCTAATGTCCAAGTCCAGTTCAATGTTACAGAAACCCACTGCGTATGTAAGGCCAATGGATGGACAGGAATCCATGGAACCAAAGTTATCCTCTGAACACTACAGTAGTCAGACTCACAGCAGCAGCGTGAATGAGCTGAAGCCTAGCAGTAAAGCACATCTAACCAAGCTGAAAATACCTTCTCAACCACTAGATGTAAGTTGCTGTCTGATTCCTGGCTTCTTAAATGTATGTCCCTTTTTGCTAGGATTTTCCAGCTTCTTTAAAATCCTGGTCTACATAACTGAAATTTAGTTTTTAGTAAATGCTGGGGGGGTTTTGTTACACGAAGCATCTTAAACTTATGCAGTGAAGACCTGTAGTTTAAATGGTGAATGTACAAAAATAATTGCTTTTTCCTTCTGCTTTTTCCATGTGGATACTGTTGATTTTTATTAAATAAAGGCTATGAGACATTCATAAAGGCGAACTTAACCCAGAGAGGCTAATTTTCATAGAGTATTTCTGTAGTCAGAAGTTAGTGAATAGTAGGCTATTCACAAATATTGTGACACGCTAGATGCATATATTGTCATTACTGGGAGCCATGTTGTCTTACACTAGTGATACTATCTGCATGTATCATATTTTCTTTTGAAGTGTGTAGCAATTACTAGATGTGATTATTATACCTTCACCTAGGGAAAGTAAGCTAACCCTAAAGCACACCAGACTGAACAGGGTTCAGAGCTTGTATCAGGTATGCTGGATACAAAATACTATCGGGTTAACAACTTTTAGTAGTTTGGTAACTCCTGAATCATTAAGGCACAGGTTCTGACTACAGCTCACAAGGAGAGTGACTTTCTTAATAATAAAATGTCATTGCATCTCCTGTTTAACTGATTGAATCATGGTAGTTAGAGAAAAGCATTTGTTCCTGGGATTTCAACAAATAGTAGAATAAGAACCAGGACACAGGTAAGGAAATTGGAAAATAAATTATTTTCTTATTCATGAAGACTTGACATGCTAATGTTGATGCAGTGAATTGTATAGTAGCTTTGCTTCGTTATGCTTGTAGCAGTCAGGGATGCAGAAGATTCATAGTTTCCTAACTATTGTTGTCTCTAGATTCATGCTCTAATGTATGTTTTACTTCGTAATGCAGTTTTCCATTACTGTATATTCACAGTCATGCTTTTGAGTTCAGATATTATCCAGTGGCTTCTTCCAGGAAACGATTGAAAGCTATGATTCTCTCTCTTCTCTCTCTAGAAGTTTTTAATATCACTGACTGCCTATGATCACTTTAACTGTCAAGTGAAAAGTAAGAGATTATTGTGGCAGTTTTATAGATCTCATGTATCTGCTTTTCATAACTGGATGTGACTCATACCATAAAAATATGGATCTATGATATTAAAATTAATGTTGCTGAAAAGAATTAGCAAGGTCTGTTTGTATCTGTATAGAGTCCATATGAATCATGATGAGGATTGAAGTTTATTTTTAACTGTTTCTAGCCCCTGGGATCTTTTAAGGAAGATTTGCTTTAGCAGATGTTAATCTTGAGTTTTGATTTGTAGGCATCAGCATCTGGTGATGTGAGCTGTGTGGATGAAATTCTAAAAGTAAGTTCTCTCTGCTTTTGTTCATAATTTATTTGTTGAAAATACAAACATTACTAAGGAGGTGGAAAGCACAGTTGATTAGTGCCTTTTAAATTGACTTGTCTACAAGTTGTTACACCAGGGCTCTTCAATTACTCCTCCAGCACAGGTAGACTGGGGAAAACTGGAAGCAGAGCTGTGTGTGAGCTGGGCACTGGGCGTTGCTGGGTGTGCACATCATCTGCTGGATATCCTTACTGCATTCCTGTTCTTCTAGGCCACTTCCCTGTTAATCTAACCAGAATTACCCATTTATTCCACCAAAATACAGTCCTTACATTCTGATATCTTTTTAGATTATAGTAATTTTTTTTGCTACCCCACAGCAGAACTTTCCCTTCTCTTTTACCTAGGTTATTTTCTCAAGTCTTTTTATCTCATGTGTGATCCCCTGATCATATGTCTACTATCACAAAAGAATCACCAGATGCTCCCTGAGCATTTCCATGGCTTACCATTTCTCTGACCTTCAGTACTCCATGGTCCTTGGAGATGCTCTGAGAGAATACAAGCCACTTTCTTTCCAGCTTCAGGCATTTGATTTTCCCCTTTTTCTTGAGACTTTATAGGGCTCCATTTCCTAGGATTCTTCTTTCTACCCCTGTATCCTACATGTGCTCATGTAGGATACATGTGCTTCACAGTCTGAAATGATCAGACTATGACTTCTACTGCAGTTTATGTTCAAACCAACCAATTTTATTGATTTATGCCTTTCTGCTTGCTATTATATCTTAACTATCTGTTCTCATGGGTAACAATATTAAGATTTTGGTTTCTGTATGAAATTTTGGTTACACATAAGGGAAATTAAGATTTGAATATAAAGCTTAGTGAAGTGTGGACAATGAACTGAAAATTGAGAGACAGGGCTACCATTTGAATCAAGATTGTAACTTGAAGTTTTTGCTTTAATTTTGTTCATGCCTGTTCCTTTTTGCTCTGGTTACAGGAGATGACCCATTCTTGGCCTCCTCCACTGACTGCTATTCATACGCCATGCAAAACTGAACCATCAAAATTTCCTTTTCCAACAAAGGTCAGTCTTGTAGTCAGATAGTGAATGCTGTTGAAAGAGTAACTCCTATTAAAGATCAGGATTTTGGAACTCTTAAATTCAATTCTGTATAGTTCTGGATTTGTTTCACTGCTTTGTATCTCTATATCTTGCCTCACAACAACATTTGTCAGCAGTTGCCTTATGAAGAATGTCATCATTTTTCCTCTGGTTTACACACACGCAGCAGTCTGCAAAGATGGCTATAATACAGCTTTCCTTTTACTTTTTTGTTTCATAAATTCAAACCTTCTTCAGGATGCTTCTGAAGCTTGAAAATGCCATTGAGCTTTTTTCCCTATTAGGGAAACGCTTTGCACCATTTTGTGTAGAAGCAAGGAAGCGTTGTGTTTACCTCCATCTAGCAAAGCAATTGAGACTGCCTGGTAAATGCTAATAAATGTAATTTTCTGCATAAACTGAATTTTCCTTATAATTTTGAAGTCCATTAATAGTTCTATTAGATCTTATATTTTCAATTAGAAAAAAATTAAAACCGTTTTAAAATCAGATGTTTTGCTAAAGAAATTTTCAGATCACTTCCTCTGAAAGATCTCTTCCTAACCTCCCATACGCTTAATAACTACTGAAGTGTTTAAGCTATTAATTCTGAAGAGAAATCAGTCGCTTTCTGCTGCTGTTGACAGCATGGGGCGCGTTTCCAGGAGACCTGCTTGAGCTGACACCTCTGAGGAAGGAGTTCTCTTGCTCTCAGCTGCTTGCTCCCTCCCCTGAGGCTGGATCTGGCAGCCTCAGCTTGCAGGGTTTGAAGGCAGACTGGCACTGGTGATTGTTTGCCTTGAAATACAGCTCTGCAATCTGCGGTATCTTGGAAGCTGATGGGTAGGCAGGGTAGATAGCTGTGGGTAGCAACTTTAGCAAGTACAGTTCAGCTTGCAATAGCTGACTCATTCAAGAATTCATGTTTTGCTTCCTGTATCTACTGATAACCAGTAAAAGATTTAACTTGACAATATCATTTTTCTCCAGACTCAACATATCTCTGAAATGGATTGGGGTACTCCACCCCTAATTTGGCATAACTTCAGAGTGAAGAAATTATGCTGTTCATCTTTTAAAACTTACTTTCACAACATATTAAGACTACACGTCTTCTGACCAGGCTGCTGTTCTAGAGCACCACTTGCTGCTATCAGTTTCCTGTTTGATCCAAACTGATCCCCAAAAAAGTTCAGTGAAATGTTTTAAGAATGTTGTCTCACTGAGGTCTCTAATCTGTCTAAACTGATTCTTATGCGAATGCTTTGACATTGCCTTCTTCTGGCCAAAGGTTCCAGGTCCCATGTTGTAAGTGTGCATCCACCACTGCAGACTGGTGCGAAGTTAAACAGTTCAGGTTCTTGTACTGGCTAAAAATCCCAGCGCTATGGGCAGTCCCATTGTCACTGCCCTCTGCCCTGCGTGTTCCTGTCTTACTGCATCTTGCTTCTCTCCAAGGAGCTGAAAATGCAGAGCATACTATACAGTTCTCAGCTTTACGTTTGAAGGCATATCTAGAAATAAATCTTGTCGTCTATTTTCTTAACATTAGATCAGTATTAATCTTGTGTATATTACTGAGTCAGGGTTTATTTGCTGCATTGCGTAAAACGGTGAACTTTGAAATAATTCTTACCTTTCACTGTGAAGAAAGAAATTCCACACCTTTCCTCTTCAACAAAGGTACTTACTGCACTGCTTTGAATACTTACTCCTGAACCTTTGGGGAGATGCTGTCCCTTCACACACTTTTGAGTACGCTTGATTGTGGGGTTTGCTAGAACTGCTTGTTTCTACGTTTCTCTGGTATTTGACTCAGTTTGGGAAGAAAGGAGGTGTGCAGAGATGTGTGTCTTTGTGACGCAGAGAGAAACTATGTAAGATTGCACAGTCATGTTGATGTTTGAACAAAAAAGGTAGGTTGGGGTTTTTTGAACCTATCAACCTGGATTGTGTTTCTTCACCCAGTTTGCAAAAAATTCCATTTATGGCTGCTCTGAGTCTTTTGAGTTTTTGCCAGCTTTTTTATTTTGTGGCTGCACATCTTAGCCATGGAACTTTGTCAAATTCGCTCTCCGCATCCAAAGCCTATAATTTCCTCTGCCTTCTCCCCTCTGTCATTCTTGGCAGCAGGATCTTCGCAGAATTCCAGTGAGTTAGCGAGCCATAGGCTTGTACAGTCTGGACCCAGAGCAGAATTCAGAAAACAAAACAATACTGTGGTTTACTTTAATCAAACAGTACTGTTCGAGGAAAACTTGTTCTCTTTAATACTCTGCTCAATTTATTTACACATAATATGCTGCAGTGTTTCACAGCATTCCTCTTCTGTGCAGAAGTTTGGTATGTGTTACCTGCGCACGTAAAATTAAGCTCCCTTTGGTGGAACAGTCGATTTTATTTGTTAGACTGTTGGGATAAGATGATTTTCCCTATGTGTAGACAGTGAGTAGCTTGAAGGGACATAAACTCCTGACTGGGGCCCCTCTGCATTACTATAAATATATCTAATAATTATCAGGAAGTCTTTGAATCAGATGATAAAACTTCATGAAAATAGGTCAGGGAAAGTTTTATGGATGCTATGAAAAAAATGTAGATTCCTGAGTCTTGATAAAAAAAAATGTTATCCAGTGACCTAACACTCTATAATTTTACCCTATATAACTTTTTTTAAGCCATGGGCTTGCAGTCAAAAAATTCAAAAATACTGGCAATGTTTGTAAAATATATTAAACCCCCTCCCAGCTGTTTCTTAGAAGGTGGAAGTTTTTTGTTTCAAAGCAATGCGAGAGCGTTGGCAGTGTTTGTGCGTGCATCCCTGTGCAGCGACCTTGAGGCATCTCTGAAGAGGCGGATTCTGTCTCCAGATTTGTTCAGTGTCTGCCCTGTGCTGGAGTTACCAAGAAGGCCAGCGGTCAGGTCCCTTGATCTGCTGTAATACAGAAACTTTCTTCTGAGAAATAAAAATGAGATCTGACCTGAGATTTCGTACATTAAATGGAAATGGGTCCCATTCACCACAACTGGGACTGCAGCCAAGCTGGTAACCTACAAATGAGAATTCAGTACCCGACTGCCGTTCTATCCAGCCAGCGAGTGTTTTTCTTTCCACAGTTTTTGTGTTTGAGTACAAGCTGCGATTTTGTTTCCTGCTTAAGGGTCTTCACTACCTAACTTCAGCAGTCTGTTATACTTCGGTTAAAAGAGTTTCCTTCCTTCAAATTATTTTTAATTTCTTCTTTCTGAAGTGTACCTTTAGAAGATACTGCTGTAAATAACTTTGGAGTTGAAAGTGTAGCACTTTTTTTTTTTTTTTTTTTTTTTTTTAATCTCTGACTTTCTTAAAGAAATACTTATTTAAAGACAAAATACATGGCAAGAGAGTTGGAAAAAGTTGCACATTTAAAGATAACACCTCGTTAAAGTGCGCTTAAATGAAAGACTGCACTGTGCCTTAGAAATAGGAAGTCT